TCCCCCTCCTCCCTCTACTTTTCTCTATTGTCTGTCTCTCCTCTGTCTCTCTGTCTCTCTCTCCCTTCCTCTCCCCTCCTCCTCACTCTCTTTTCTCTGTTATCTCCCTGTCTCTTTTCTCTCTGACTTTCTCTCTTTCTCTCCTCTGTGTCTGTCTCTGTCTCTTTTTCACTCTGTACCCATTACGTGTTCTGTGTACCAGACATGGTTCTAGGTTCTGGGGACGCAGAGGTGAATGAGACAGATGATATTCCCAACTTCCTCCCTTCTGGTTGGGGGCACACAAAACAAAATTGATAAATAAGTAAAAAAAAAAAATAATAAGATAGTGAGTTTCCTAAAAGAAAATACAGCAGGGAGACATGATAGAGACAATGGTGGGGCTGGGATGGCGCCTGATGGGTGGTCTGCAGGGCCTTGCTGAGAGGATGGTGTGGGAGGTGAGTGATTCTGGGGGTCTGTACATCAGGGGCGTGGGGCATTGGGCAAGTGTGAGGGTGGTAGGGTCCATTCCATGGGTCGAGGATTGTGATGAGGAGTCTGGTGTTCTTATGCCAGGCACTAGAAGCAAGAGAGTGACATAAGCTGATCTAATGTTAAAAAACAAACAAACATCCTCTCCATTTGCAGGTGGAGGATGGATCAGAATAAGAAGAGAGTGGAAAGTAGGTGCTCTGTGGAGAGTTGACTGCTGGTGCCTGAGCAAGAGATGATGGTGGCCCAGACTATGGTGGTGGCCATGGGAGTGACAGGTGGGCATGGTTGTGAGATGGATTTTGGAGGTTTGGCTGAAAAGATTTGCTGCTGGGTTGCCTGTAGGGGGAGACAGAAAGGGAGCAGTCTGTGGCATGTAGCAGCTTAAATCTTCTGGAGCCACAAACCTGCCAGCAGTGGTTCCACCTTCCTTATGACTTCTGCTTGGCTGCAGCAAGCAGACCCCATAGTGGAGAAACTGCCAACACACTTAGATGACATTACAGAAGCCATCAGCAGCTCTGCTGAGGCTAGATAGTGTGTCCTGACCCAGGGACCGTGGGTGCAGATTCTTGGACCCTCCCTCTCTAGAATACACTCTCAAGAGACCTCCATCCCAGCAGCCACCTCTCCTGACACATACGTACACTCAACGCTGAGAACCACAGGAGAGGGTGGCCACATTGTGGTTCCTACAACCCCTGTGCCTGGTGTCTGCTCCCTAGAGACCTGTGCCCATAGAGGCTGGCTCCTCCCTGGTGGAATTCAGGGCACAGAACTCAGGCCACAGGCCTCCCACAAGTACAGTGGACGTCAGTGGTGTGTGGGGAGCACAAAGCATGATGCATACTCAGGGAAACTGCAGGTTGCTTTGGGAGAGGACGTGGGGCAAGATTGACATAAGTGCTGTGGGGAGAGCCCAGAGGGCTTCTCTGAGCATCTGGCAGTCATATGAGACCTACAGATGGATGGAGCCAAGAGAGAGGAAGGAAGCCTTCCAAGCAGAGGGACCAGACTGGAAGAGCAGGAAGCACCTTGTTCCATGGGTGGGTATGAGGCTTGGAGGCAGACATGGGTTGACCAGAGGCTTGCAGGCCATGGTGGAGTCTAGATTTTATGCTGTTGTAGAGACAGCTCATTGTTCTCTGATATATGTTCTTTCCTTCTTCTATGACAATATGGCTGCCAAGAAGAAAGACTACATTTCCCAGCATCCCTTGCAGCAAGACTTGGCCATGTGACGATATTCTGACCAATGGTAGGAAAGGAAAATGTCATGTGATACTTCCCACCTCTTGCTCAAGTTAGCTTTGCTCCTCCTCTTTTTTTGATTTTTTTCCTGCATCTGGTGCCTCTGCTCAGAGACTGCCCTGAGCCTAGATGATGAGCAGCTTCCAGAGGATGACCGGAGCAGGCAGGCGGAGCCTGGTCTGGATGGCATCTTGGGCAGCGTGGCCCAGCTAGGCCTGGATGGCTCAGCCCCAGACTGCTTCCTCGCAGGGAGGATTAAACACACTTCTGTATTGCTTCAGTTTCCATTATGTGGGTTTCCTGTCACTCTCAGCAGGAACCTAATCCAAGCTGATAATAGAATTCTAGGTCAGGAGGCATTGCTGGGGTTAAGTATGAGTATGCCATGGCTACTGTATGGGGATGGAGAGGACTTGGAGGCAGGCCTGAGTGACAAGGGAGGTAGTGGTCCTGGGCCATGGACAGATCTGGAGTGCGCTTGGGGCCAGAACTGGTCTGACCAGTGAGTGTGGGGAGCAGGTTGGGAAGAGAGAGTCCACAGCTCTGTTCTCACTCTGCACTTTCCCCTGCTGGAGTTGTGGGAATTCCAGGTCCTGCTCATCCTCTCCTGCCTGTTTGGGTCTGGCCTGGAGGCGGCACAAAAGGTCTGCTTCCTGCTCTTCTTAGGATGTCTCAACCAGGCTGGGGGAATTCTTCCCTATGAATTTGGCCCTATGCCTCACTGTCAGGGAGCTCCTTGGCTCAACTCTCAGAAGTTTTCCTTTCTTTCCCTGATCTTGTGGAGTACTTGGACAAAAAGAGTTTGTAATGGTTGGTCATAACTCACCGTTACAGGGCGTTTCACAGACCAGGCACTGGACTATACCCATGTTCTCATGGAAGATTGGAGGTCATTCTTGAAGGCAGGGGTTAGTAAAATCCTCACTTTACAAGTGAGAAATGGAGGCAGAGAGAGATAAGGCCACTCAGTTAGTGGAGAAGCTGAGCATGGACCCAACCATTCTGACTCTAGAACTGCAGGTTTTAACCACTTCCAGATGCTGTCAATTTACCAGAATTTGTTTCTTTAGGGTACTATTGTCAGGCTTTGGGGCTATTGACAACATTTTCTTTAAAGAATAGTGCAACTGGCGGACACAGTGGCTCACACCTGTAATCCCAATACTTTGGGAAGCCAGTGGGGAGGATCATTTGAGCCTAGAACTTCAAGACCAACCTGGGAAACATAGCATGACTCTATCTCTAAAAAAAATTAAAAAAGTGTAGTTGTGAATATCTTGGCATCCCTCCTTCCCTCCCTCTCTCCCTCCTCCTCCTCCTCCTCCTCTCCTTCTTCTTCTTCTTCTACATTTGTGTTATTTTCTTGGAGTACAAACAATATCTAGAGAGGGATTATTGGACAAAGGATATAAAGGTGACTTGGTTCTCATAATAGGATTGCTATCAGGTGATAAAGATGTTTTCCTTGACCTAATTCTAGTCAGGCTCCTCCAAACCTTCAAGGTCCTGACGTTGGGCTCTGTTCTTGGCCTGTTTAGTCCAGGTGTTGCAAGAGTCCTTCTGGGTCAGTGTAGTGAAATTCCTGTTTGATCACCCTTGACATTTGATCAAATTCATCATCCTCTACTCTTGCTAGGTTGTCACCGTGGCCTGCTTTCAGCATGAATCCTGTTGTTGGTCTAGCAAGAATCCTCCTAGCTTTGATGTCTCCTCTTAGTAATTTTCCAGCCACTCCCAGCCCTGCTCCTTGGCTACAAATCCTCACTTCTCCCTGTTAGAATCAGATTGAACCTGATCTCGCTCCCCTTCTACAAAACCCCATTGTAGAAGCCCCTGTTAAATAAAGTCTTCTTTACTGTCTGTAACAAGTGTCATGGATAACTTTTTCTTTAACATCAAGAGAGACTGAAGTGCTTGATGGTACCACCAGTCATGAATGAATGTAAATATCCCCTTTGCCCTGCTCAGGGCTCCGTTCATTGAGTTTTACTTTAAATTCCTATTCAACGGTGTAGTAAGTGTGTAATGATATCATTTTTTTTTGAGTTGGAGTCTCACTCTGTCACCCAGACTGGAGTGCAGTGGCCGCTCCCGGCCACCGCAGCCTCGACCTGCTGGGCTCCGGCGATCCTTCCGCCTCAGCCTTCCGAGTAGCTGGAACTACGGGTGCGCGCTACCATGCCTGGCTCATTTTTGATTTATTGTAGAGATGAAGTCTCACCAAGTTGCCTAGGCGGGTCTCGAACCTGCAGATTCAGGTAGTCCACTCACCTCAGCCTCCAAAAGGCATGGGATTACAGGCTGAGCCACCGAGTCCGGCTTGTAATGATATCTTAAAGTATTAAGCCAGAGAAGCTGGGAGATTTTCCATTTTATTTCTATCTTTACCTCTGTTTC